GTGGGTCCAGGTACCCAGAGCCAACATGTGGCACTGGTACCAGGAATGCAAGGTTTGAGGTAACAGCCTGGGGAGGTGTCCACACCACTGAGAGCAGAACAGGACCAGACTCCAGAGTTAGGACAGTCCATGAGAAAAGAAAGCACCCGGAGAGCCAGGGCAACCCCCACCCCTGGAGCCCAGGTTTGAATGGCCACAGAGGGCAGACTAGAAGATGCTCCACGTTCTGACCAGGACTGTGCCACTCAGAGCAGCCTGAGGTCCTTGTCTACCCGTGGACAGGAGTATTCTGGACCCTCCCCGGCACCAGGCTGCCCAGGGCACCGTCAGTGGGGGAGGCACTGGGAGGGCCAGACCCTGGCAGACAGAAGGACTGCTCCCTTGGGGACTGACTTGAGGCTGCAGCTGGCTTCTCCTTCCCACCTCCCAGTTGGCTTCGATTTTCTGATCTTCGTGGAGAGTGGTAACAGGTGAGAGAAGCAGGAGCCAGCAGTCAGAACAGAGGCCAGGGTCCTGGGTACCCAGTGGCTTGGACAGGGGGCTGTGGTGGGCACTGGGGCAGGAGGCCAAGGAGGACATGGAATCTTAGTGAAAGCACAGGCCCACCTGCCCCAAGCTCCTGGGTCACTCTGCACATGCCCAGCAACTGGTCAGTGAAACCCTACCCACCAGACCAGTAGGCCATGCCATGGCCAGGAAGGTGACCCAGAGGGGACACCAGGCCCTTCCATTCCCACGGTGGCCCACTGTACTCAAAGGCTCCTGAGACCCGGGTCCAGCCCCTTCTGGAACACCCAGCCCTTCCGTGCCCCTGCAGACCACCCRCACTGCCCCATGCGCCCATTCTGTACCCATGAGTACGCTGCGAGCTCAGTACCCCTACGGGGCTGGGCTCAGGAAGTGGCCTACACTGACTTGGGGGCGGCTGGCAGCACAGACAGGTGGCTCAGGGGCCTAGGTGGTCTGCCTCRGAGGAGGACTGACCCTGTGGGCACAGGGCCTCCAGTGTGGCTGTGGGGCACCCGAGCAGTGGGGCCAGGCCGGGCCCTGCCCACTCCAGGGTGGTCTCCTTCCCATCTCCCTCAGGCCTCTCCTGTGACCCTGCTGGGCACAGCTGCCTGTTACAGTGGGCTCCTGGCCATCAGCTGCAGAGGAGGCTGCCTGCTCCTGCAGGCTCTGAGCATGCCCATCCCGGCGAGGACCAGACCTGCAGCGACTTTGTGGGCCYGCCCATCCCGCTGGACGGGCCTCAAGGCGGGCCTGGCCCTGCTGGGTGTCCGCCAAGCCCAGAGCATGTGCAGGCTGCTCCCCAGAGGGAGGGGCATGCTGGCTGCTGGCTCAGCTGCCTSGTTCAGGTGAAGGAGCTCTCAGATGGCCATCAGGGGAGGTGGAAAGCCCAGTCCTGGTGAGGCAGCTCCCCAGAGTCCAAGGGCTCTGTGTCCCCTGTTCCCTGGGACTGATGCCAGCCCCCGCAGCTCCCCTCTCTGTTGGCCAGAGCAGTAGGCTTGGCCCCGGGAAGGGGCTCCCGGYGGGGGCGGAAATCACCAGTGCAGGGAGAAGACCCCAGCAGACCCCACTGCCCACCCCAAAGTAGGAACCCAGCCTCAGACTGGCCCCAAGCCCATCAGGCAAAGAAAATGGCTGACAGTGCCCTGGAGCTGCTGGGATCTACTGCTGGCCWGGTCAGGTGGCCACAGAGAGGAAGCACCCTGCTGCTGGGGCACCCACTGCCYGCCATGGGGAAGGCTACACAGAGCCACAGTCGCCTGACCCTCCCTCTGCCCCCAACTGTGCCCAGGCCTGAGCAGGAAGGCAAGTGCCCCTGTGTACAGCARACACAAGTCACAGGGGCCAGCAGGGTGGAGACTGGGGACGCAGGCTGGATCTGGGTCACTGAAGGCGGGAGGCACTGGGCTATGGACCCCTCTGCTCCCCACACAAGATCCATGACTCAGGGTTAGGGTTGGGGTTAGGGATTTTGTGGAAATTCTGCCACTTCCCACAGGAGTCCGGGTGGAATTGACAGCCCCTGTCCCGGTCCAGGGCCAGATGTGACCCAGGTCTGGCAGCTGGACACTTCCTGCCCCCAACCACAGCTGGGTCAGAGAAGGATGTGACACAGAAACTGCCCCCTGCCCCGCCCCAGGATATCCTCACCCCTCGCAGAAACTACTGGTGGAAAGACTGGTGTTTTTTCACTGTTAGACTGAAATGATGGTGTGTAGGCCGGGATCTGTGGAAGTCATCCTGCAGTGGCTCCTGGGCAGTCTACATGAAGAGAAATTCATCAAAGCAGAACACAGATCCACAGATGGACAGACTCCTGGATTTAGCCATGCCTGAAACCAGCAGACCTCGCTGGAAGTCTCAGTCACACAGATCAACAAACCTCCCAGTGCCCTAGCCGGTTTGGGCTCGCGTGGCACTCAGAAGGCTCATCACCAACCAGGGACTGAGTTCCAACCTGGGTCAACCCCAGGCAGACAGAGCCATCAGAGGCAGGACAAGAACGGAGAGCATGGATTCCAAGACCAGGCTGAGTGGAGGAAAGAGAAGTCAAAACYGTCTTGGGGAGTTGGCGGCTGGGGTGCAACTGGGTGGATCAGACCAGCCACCTCTAGGTTCCCAGGACTRGGAGACCCTCACAGCAGCACACGCTGGCCTTTTAGAGGTCTGGACAGGGTTTGTGGTCACATTGGCTCCACCCCACCTGGGTCATTTTTAATTCCTGTTCCAGTCAGTATTCTGTAGGGGACATGTTGGGGCTTGGTGCTAACGTGGTTTCTCCAGCTCCTGGAGTAGAGGGGCTGTGCCCCATGATTCAGTGGCTATGCCAGAGCCCAGGAAACAGGAAGCAGAGCACATGAGTCCATTTTGCATGGGAGAAAACTGAGGCTGTGAATGGGGCGTGGAGCTGCCTGCAGGAGGCAGGGAGTGGGTGTGAGTGACCACACTCAGGTCAGAACTGCCCTTCCCAGGGGTCACACACCCAGGCACACAGTCTGGCTGTGGCCAGGCCTGCAGCCATTCCCAGGATCAGTCTCTTTCCTTCCCTGAGCTTGTATGTATARACTACAGGAAATCACAATCCTGAGTGCTCTTCAGAAATTCAAGGCCTTCTGTGTTCAACTCTGCATTAAAGAGTTCATTAAGCTGGGGTAGGGGCACAAACCTGTAATCCCACTGATTGGGTAATCTGAGATGGGGGTAGCAATTTTGAGGTCACCTGGACAACTTAGTGAGACCCTATCTAAAAATAAATAAAATAAAATAAAAATAAAAAGGTCTCAATACATTTTAAATCCCCAGAACTGGGGAAAAAACTTTTTTCATTCAAATTTACTCTTTCATTTTATAGTGCAGTGGCTTTGGTGCAAAGACAGATAACAAGCACTTACTGCAGGATGATTTTTTACATAAATCAGTGATTCATCAGAGACCACATGAGTTAGGTTTTGTTTTCTCTGTTCAACAGATGCCACAGCAGGTGGTCCACAGGCCTCTTAGTGTTTCACAGTGTGCTCAGTAGTTTTGGACTGTAAGATTGTGCTCACAAAATGATTTTGGGAAATATATCCTCATTTTCTGTATTTTGGACAGGTTTGTGTAAAACCAAAGATATTTCTTCAACTATTTAGAGTAATTCCTCAATGAAACAATCTAAAACTAAAATTGTCATTTTGAGAAGATTTCAAATCATGCACTGAATTTATTTAATGATATAGGACTCTCCAGGTGTTCAGCCTCTTCTAATGTCAGTTTTGTATGTTGTGTTCATCTAGAATGTTCAACATCAAGTTGTTCACGCCCTCTTCTTCTGACCCTTTCCGTGCCTGCAGCATGTATAATGATGTTCTTTTTTCACTCCTGAGAGTGGGATTGTGTTTTCTTTTACTCAATCTTTCCTATCAATTATATTGATCTCATCAAAGAACCAACTTTCAACTTTGATGAATTTCTCAGATTTTTTTTAGAAAAGTCTTTGTTATYGTTTTCTGCTTTTTCTTTACTTTCAGCTCTTATTTCATCTTTGAGTTTGTCATTCTTTTTGTAGCTTTTCGAGTTGGAGCTTGAAGCACTAATTTTCAACTTTTTCTCTACAGCTAAAGTACCACTTTAGCACTTAAAGGATGTGTGATATTTTGCTTCTGTTCACTTGAACATATTTTACAACTTCCATCTCGATTATTTCACCCCTGATTATTTACAAGTATGGCATTTCACTTCCAAGCAATTAGTGACTTCCTAGTTTTCCTGTAATTTAGCTTTAATTCAGAGAGGACACACTATAGGATTTCAATTCTTTGAAATTCGCTGTCACTTGTCTATGACCCAAGATATGGTCTATTTTGGTAAATGCCCTATATGCACATGGAAAGGATATGCATTTTACAGTTGCTGACTCAAGTGTTCTATACATGAATTAGATCAAATTGGTTAACTCTATTGCTCAAACTGTGTGAGATTGGTCCAAAGATAAAGAAATAGGTGAGTGGGATAGAACAGACCCTTACATATGATGCTTTCAATAAGTGATGCTGGGTTACTTGGAAATCCAAAAGGGCGAAATAGATCTCCGACCTCCTGCCACGCCATTTACAAGAACTTGTGATCCCTCGCACATCTGTGTACCCCAAGTCATTTAAGCTTCTAACAGGAAACAGAGAACACTGTAATAAAAGCGGCGAACCGCAAAAGAAAACATTGATTGAAGGACTGGACTTCATTAAGAAGAACTCCTGTTCGTTAAAAGCCAACCCAGTGCGAGGTGTCTTTGCTACAATAAAAATCTAAGTGTCCGACGCAGTCCTCGGACACGAGTTCCGGTGCACCCACCCAGCCCGCCCGGCCCCCGCGTGCCAGCGCCTCCCGGGACTCGCTGTGCCTCCTTAAGCCGGGAGGCTGGGGCGCTGGGGCCGCGGCTCCGGGCTCCGCCCCCGGGGGTTGCCTTCTCCTTAGAAGGCCAGCCCCAGCCTCGCCTCTCGCAGGCGGGCGTCGCGCGGTGCGTTCCGCGCTGCCGGGCTGGGACCAGAACCCCCAGCGCGCGGGAAGCGGCGGGACCCTGCGCGTCGGTCCGGGCGCACGCTGGAGGGCGCGAATGGCAGGCCGGAGGCCGGCGGAGGAGGCGCGGAGCACAGCCTGAAGCCTACGCGCYCGCGACATGCAGCGGGAGAGGTGAGCCGGCGCCCCGGTGCCTGGCCGCGGGGACGCGGGGTGCGGAGGCGGCGGCCCCGGAGCCTGCAGGCCAGCGGGTCCCGGCTGGACGGCSCGCGTTCCGAGCCGGCTGGGCCGCCTGCTCCGCGTCCCCGCCCGCCCGCTCGTCTCGGAGCTGGAGCACTGCGGCCCCAGGGAGTTGGCTGTTTCCCCGCGGTGGCGCGGTCCCCGGCTGCCGAGGGAACTGTAAAACTGTAATTCAGTTTGGAATCCCAAAGCGTATAACATCGTGTTTTTCAAGATCGGGGCACAAAAACGCCAGGGTGCCGGCAGCTGGCCGCGGCCCCTCCTGAGGACCGCGCCCAACCCGGCCTCCCGGTGCGCCCCGGCTCGCCTCGCCGACGCGGCCCGGACGCACGCGGTGGGGACCGCAGTGTCCCGCGCTCTGCCGCGCGCCAGAGCGCGGGCCCGGCCTCCCCGCGGCCAGCCAGTGAGCCCGGCTGAGCGCTGTCTGCCCACAGGTGCGGCGCCCCCCGCCCGCGTGCCGGTCATGGAGGTGCTGCGGCGCTCCTCGGTCTTCGCCGCCGAGATCATGGACGCCTTTGACCGCTCGCCCACCGACAAGGAGCTGGTGGCCCAGGCCAAGGCGCTAGGCCGGGAGTACGTGCACGCGCGGCTTCTGCGCGCCGGCCTCGCCTGGAGCGCGCCGGAGCGCGCGGCGCCGGCCCCCGGCGGCCGCCTGGCCGAGGTGTGCGCCGTGCTGCTGCGCCTGGGTGAGTGCGGGCCCTGCGGGCGGTCCCGGCTGTCACTCCAGACCCGGCCGACTGGGCGGGCCCGCCGAGTCTGGGGTCTGGCTGAGCCGGCGCTGGCACGCCTGTCGGACGACGGCGCCAGTTCCTTACACCCCTGGGCCTCCGTTCCTCCGGGACAGAGAGGGGGCTTGCCCGGGTGCCCCCTTGTGCCTGGCCCGCTGTCTCGGGATGACCAGCTTGCACCGCCGGCACAGCCCCCACCCCTAGCCCTTCGCTGGCTTGACTTCAGTCATTCTCGCCATAAACCATAGAAAGCTCCAGAAAGAATGTTTTAGTGTCTGAGCTTCAGAGTGACCCTTGTACTCAGCAGGGCTCAAAAATCCTTTGTGGGACCACGTGTCCGATGTTTGTTTTGGAAAATAGGTCTTTTGGTTGCTGGCTGAAATCCGGACACCCGCTGAGCTTCTCCCTTGATCTGGAGGTTGGAGGAGGCCGGCTGCTTCCAGCACTTGTTTCTGGGGCACAGGCCGCCCAGGGTCTGCACCCAGAAGGGAGACACAGGCAGACTCTTGCCCTGGGCTGTCCACCGTGCCCCAGCCAGACGCTGGGCCAGGGGAGGAGCCTGAGTGGGTGTGAGGAGAGCCGGGTCACTGGGGACAGGGGGATCCCCAGCTCCCTGGGCTAACACTGGTGTGTCTGGGTCAAGGAGCAGGACTGTGTAGATCTGGCCTGCCCAGAAGTGTGCAGGGTAGAGGGTCAGATGATGTGGGGACCAGCACTGAGCTTCCAGGAGGGTGGATCCCATCTGGGAAGGGAAAGAGGGCCACATCTCAGGTGTGCAGAGGCAGCAGCGTGCAGGGGCTTGGGGACAATCTGGCTGTGGAGTCCTGTGACACCCACTTCTGCTGCCTCTTCCAGCTGGGCTGAGGGTCACTCCAGGACATTCCTTGTCCTCCCCAGAGCCTGCCAGCCCTCTGGGACGGCTGGGAAGACATCCTGCCTGGCCCTGACCTGCTGTCTCCCTCTGTTCCCTCATTCCTGCTTTCCCCCCACAGGCCTTGGGCCTGGGCCTCTCAGCAAGCACAGGCCCTTTCCACTGCCCAGCTCTGCCATGTCCCCAGCCAAAGGGGACCCTGGAGGGAGGCAGTTTGAACTCCAAGGTGTTCTTGTTACTGTCTGCTATCTCAGCTATTCAGGGTGAATGCTTCCACAGCCTGGCACTGTCTGCTGACCCCCAGCCTGTCCCCAGCCTGGCTTTGTCCCACATCGATCCCTGGGGCTTGTCCCCAGAGGCCCCCAAGGTCTGTGTTTGGGAACAGCCAGGCCAGCCTTGGGAATTTCCATGCCATGTCCCCACCCTCTGGCTGGCCTCTGGGTTCTGCTCTGGTTCCAGATCTTAATTAACTGGATGGAGCACAGCTGGCCCCAGGGATGTCCCCGAGGCTCTCATTGGCTGACTGGATAGTCAGCAGCACCCTGTTGGCTTTGGCTGGGACACCYGACCCAGGGCTGTGTGGGGTTCCCAGAACCTTGATCTTCCCAGTGCTTCCACCTCACCTCCCAGGGCCTGCCGCCAACAAGGCAGGCAGGACCTGTGGGAGGCATTTCCCCCAACAGGGCTGGGCTGACTGGGTGCCACAGGACACACCCGTTTGGTACTGGGAGCCCAAGGGAGAGTGGGTGGTGCTGGTAGCCCCCCAGCCATGGCTTGGTCTCTCCAGGTCCTTCACCAGAGCCACCACCAGGTGGTTCTGGGGCCTGAGCTAGGACCCCATGTGAGGCGCCCACCTGTTGGGGTCTCCCTGCCCAGCCCCTCCCCAGTTTGGGCTCTGGCCACCTGCCTGAGCAGCCCGGCTGCTTGCCTGCCAGTGAGTCACCAGGCAGACACCACCCACGCTGGGCAGGATTCCCACCCCACTGGCCCAGCAGCTTGGCCTCAGGGCCTGGCCGGTCAGAGGCACCCACAGCACCTCCATGGCCTGTTTCCCTGGGGTTGGAGAGTCAGGCAAAGTCAGGGTGCCTGACCTCTTGTGTGCCCATGCAGGGGATGAGCTGGAGCAGATCCGGCCCAGTGTGTACCGCAATGTGGCCGGCCAGCTGCACCTCTCCGTGCAGTCGGAGCCCGTGGTGACAGATGCWTTCCTGGCTGTGGCAGGCCACATCTTCTCTGCAGGTAGGCATGTCCACCCCAGGGGACCTCAGGGTGGGTCCAGTGGCTGTGGGACCCCAGGAGGCAGCCTTGTGGTGCTCACAGTACCGCCTTGCTGCTGGGGTTGTCTGAATCTGGGAACAGACCAGCTCAGATGGTGCTGGCTTTTGTGGTCTCTAGTGGTTCTGAGAGCTGCTGGCCCTTGGGCAGCTGGCCTGGGCCTCTCAGGCAACTGTGGTCCAACTGTGGCCTGCTCTGCAGGACTGCTGGGCCACCTGTCCTGGGGCTGCAGAGCCGGCTGTGGGCTGGAGGGGCCGGGTGCCCACCGCCGGGCTTGGACTTTTCATAGTGAGGTGCTGGGCCCAAGGGGAGTGTCCAAGAGGGAGCATCCTGGCCTCCAGTAGGAAATGTTGGGGTGGGCTGAGCCCCAGGAGGAAGCCTGGGGCACAGGCGTCCTGGGCTGGTGGCACCCTCACCCCACTCCACCCTGGGGCTGCCCTCCAGGGGGTGCCCTGTGGGTGGCCTCCCGGGTCTGTCTCCAGCCTTCAGCAGACTGGTTTACGAGCCACGGCCTGATTTTTCAAGTGTGGCGCGGGCCTGCTGGTGTCTGCCATGGAGCTGGGCCCTGATGGTGGTGGGTGTGAGCCCAGGAGCGCCTGGGGAGGTGGAGCCCATCTTGGCCCTCAGCCTGAACCAGAAAGCAGCAGAGCACAGGCGGGTCTGGGAGGTCCTGGGCGAGCCTGGGGTGGAGGGGAGGGTCCCGTAGCACTGACTTCCTCCCCCGGGGTCTGCTGCCTCTTAGGGTCCCGGGGAAGCCTAGGCCAGCTGCCCCTTCAACCCATCGCTTCAGGCCCCTGGTGACAGTGTCCTTAGCCCCATGTGGACTGTGTGACCTGCAGCTCTTTCTTGATCTCTCTGAGCCTGGGAGAATTAGGGCTTTGTCTGCCTCTCCAGTGGCCAGATGGCTCTGAGGACACTCCTCAGACCAGCTTGTGGCTGGCTGTCACACTAACCCCAGCCTCCTGGTCCCAGGGGCTCTGGGCCCTCAGCCTGCTGGCTGGGCCCTCTCAGCCCTCTGCCTGTGGCGTGCCCACTCTGCCTGGCACGCTGGCTGCTTTCCTGCTGCGAATGCAGCCCGTCAGGCTCATCCCTGCCGGGACGCTGCCACCCTGGCCTCCTCTGCTGGGGCCCCCTGGGGTGGCTCTGTGGAGCTTCTCCTGGTCTCCAACCCCAGGTGGCAGGAGAGCCCGGTTCTGGGGCAGCAGCGACCACTGAGGCCATTCCTCTGCTCTCCCGGGGCTTTGTGTTCACGCTGCTCCTTTCTTTTTCTTTTTTTGATATTTAATTTTTAGTTGTAGTGGGACACAATACCTTTATTTTACTTGTTTATTTTTATGTGGTGCTGAGGATCGAATCCAGGGTCTCGCCCCTGCCAGGCAAGTGCTCTACTGCTGAGCACAGCCCCTGCCCCGTGCTCATTTCAGTGGTGAGCTATCTTACCACAGAAGACCGGAAAACAAGGGAACCCTGAGAAATCATTACCAACAAGGCATCCCACCTGAAAGATCAGCAGAGGAACTGGGTGTGGTGGGCACACCTCGAGCCCATCTCAGCCACTGGGAGGCAGAAGCAGGCAGACTGTGAGTGCCAAGCCAGCCTGGGCAGCTCACTGAGGCCCTGCTCAGAACAGAGTGAAGAAGACTGGGGATGGGGCCCAGTCCCTAGAGCTATGTGTATCTGTGCATGCATGTGAAGAAAAGCACGATGTCCAGTGGCCAGCACAGGGCTGGGGTGTGCCTTGGGCAGAGACAGCCCAGTGCTCCAAGTCCTGGGCTCCACTCCATCCAGATGTGCACACACAAAGACCAGCAGGCACATGAGCCATTAGGCATCCCGTTCCACCAGGACGGCTTGGCCTGCAGCTGCAGGTAACCTGGAGAGGTGGTGTGGGCACATTGGGAACAGCCTGACAATGTGGAGTTTCTGTGTAACCTGGCAACTCTAGGCAGATGCCCAAGACGTGGAAACGTGCACAGAGGTGGGAACAGCCCACGGGTCCCTCTGTTGACAAACAGATATGGACACCATTCAGTCATGGACAGGAGGGACAAGGGCCCTGCACCAGGACCCCGAGCACCCTGCTGGCATCCTGCTGAGCACAGAGGTGGAAGTAGGTTAGGAGTAGCCATGGGTCAGGGCACATGGGAATGGCCTGAAATTAGATAGTTGTGAACTGGGAATGTATAGAATGTAATTCTCCATGTCTGAACGATTATGGTAATGGAATGATGTCTTAATGAAAGAGAACAGGAGACCCAGGCAAGCAGAGCTACCAGACCAGCCCTGGACACCCCTCCTGCTGGCCCCTGTGGGCTCCAGCTGTGGGATTGTGGCCACCCATGAAGCATGCTGTTCTCTGCACATCAGGCCCCACAGAACACTCTGCCTTTTCCCTCTACTAGTGCCTGCTGCAGGCAGGGGGCAGGCACCACGGGCAGGGGGCAGTGGGTCTAGAGACCTGCCTGGGCATGGTCAGGAGGCCCTGTTGCCCTGCTGACCTCGAGCAGAGTCCTGGGGAGGGAGCTCAGCCATGGAGGACCAGGGCTGACCATGTGCACTGTCCTGGTAGCAGCTGGCCAATGGGGCCATCTCAGCCAGGCTTGAGACTTGAGTTTGTCTGATAGGATGAAAGGGTTTCACACAGGGTGGTCCCTGGTCTGTGCTCAGTGCTCAGAAGACTCTTTCTTCCTGTTGAAGTGGGATGAGTGTGGCAGCGTCCCCGGCTGAAGTTGTAATTTGGTACTTCAGCGTAGTGACCCACCACCGTCCCCTGCGCCCAAGCCACGGGTCCGCGTGGTCGCTGCCCGTCTGTTCTGGACGTGGCGCACGGTGGTGGCGCACGGTGGTCTTGCCCAGTGTGCACGCTGCGCGTCTGGCTTCTTCCACTTGTTGTTTTGAGACCCTCACTGTGTTCACTTTGCTCTTCTCTGTGCTGGGGTGGAACCCAGGGCCTCACACCCTCTGCTCAGCCCTGTCCTTGTCTTGGAAGCTCTCCTTTTCTCCCTGATTTATGAACTCACTTTATATATTCAGGAAGGCATCTAACACGTGGCTTGAGAGTACTTTCCCCCAGGGTCATTGGTCTGTCTTCCTCGAGGCGGCCACAGCTCAGTTCTGCTGCTCCGTGGGTTAGGGGTCCAGGGAAAGCTCTTTCCATGGGCCTTGGCTTCTTCATAAAATGGACAACGGTGCTGTCCAGCTGCAGAGGGATGAATGTGCCCTGGGAGTCCTGGCTGCTTTCTTCGTCCAGCCCCAAGGCTGCTGGACCCTGTGGGGAGCTGCCTCCCTGAGGCCTCCTCTGTCCATGAGGCTGGACAGGTTTCCTCCTGGGCCAGTGCAGGTGTGCAGGAGGCTGGCAACCTTGTCTGCCCTCAGGGTGGGCGGGACTGACCCAGGGGAGACGGTGGCCAGGCTCGCACCAGGCTATCAGCCGGCCAAGTGCCACTGGGGTGCGGGCCTGTGGGAGCCACCTGGCTTCTGGGTACCTTCCACTGACCAGCCACTCACCAGTGACTCTCTCTCTGCAGGCATCACGTGGGGCAAAGTGGTATCCCTGTACGCAGTGGCTGCAGGACTGGCTGTGGACTGTGTGCGGCAGGCCCAGCCCGCCATGGTCCACGCCCTGGTGGACTGCCTGGGGGAGTTTGTGCGCAAGACCCTGGCAGCCTGGCTGAGGCGGCGTGGTGGATGGGTGAGCCCCTGGGTGCGGGGCTGTGGGAGCTGGTGGGGTTATGGCGAGCTGGGTCCCTGACGCAGGGTAAGGGAGTGGAAAGCGCTCTGGGGCAGGCTCTGGGCTTTCTTCTGCTGCCTGGACCCTGCCACCCTCTCCAGTCCAATCTTGCCCCGCCCCAGCTGAAGACCTGCTGTCCCTAGATGACTTGGGAGAGGTAGGACTCTGGCCCCTCAGAGGGTAGATCCTGGTCCTGCCCAGAGCACCCTCACCTCCTCAGAGCCTAGCCTCCCCCCACGAGAGGAGGGTCACAAGGCCTAGAGGGGTGGGTGTCAGACCTCCACTATCTCCACACTCGACTGGCCACCTGGGCCTGGGCAGACCATGGGTACTGCTGGACCTCGGCATGGAGCCTCTGAGTCAAGGTCTCCTGAGGTTGAGTTAAGGATCAGCTGGGACTGTGGTCCCAACTGGAGGCTGGGCTGCGGGGAGGGTGTACTCCCAGAATGACCCCTGGCTCTGGCATTCCCAGCAGAGACACCAAAGCTGCTGACCCCTCCTGTTGTCTTCTCTGCAAACCCTGGCAGGCACCCTGTGCCCAGCAGAGAGTCCACTGAGCAGCACTGTGGCCAGAGTCAGCTGAGGAGCCTTCCTTTCCTTTGCAATAGAAAGGACAGGGAGGGTGAGGACTAGTCACGCACCATCCTCCAGACCTCCCAGGGCGTCTCCGCTTCTGCAAAACTCAGCCTCTGCTCCCATTCCCAGGGCAGGTCTGAAGCTGTCCAGTGGCCCTGGACGCCAGGCTGTTGGAGACTCCTTTGGGGCAGCTGGCAAGCAGGAGGGTGTTTGGGAGCCCTGGTGGAGGTGGCTTGTCTCCTTCCCCACCCTGAGCTCCTCCCTCCTGCTGCCCAGCTCCTCAGGTGCCCGCAGTCCAGCCCCATCACCGCCTTCCTGCCCCAGGCAGCCTGCGGTTCACAGTGTGCTGGCTTTGTGGGTGGGTGCTGCTGAAGCTTGTGCTGGGCTGGCAAGGCCGGGCTCTGCTCTGACAGTACCCTCTTCCCTCACAGACTGATGTCCTCAGGTGCGTGGTCAGCACGGACCCTGGCCTCCGTGCACACTGGCTGGTGGCTGCGCTCTGCAGTTTTGGCCGCTTCCTGAAGGCTGCCTTTTTCATGCTGCTGCCGGAGAGATGAGCTGCCCATCTGGACAGGAGCTGTGGCTTGGCCCCCTGGGTCCATCCCTGGAGGCCAGCCACACCTGGGAAGCCTCTCTCCTCTCTGAGCCCCATCCCTCTGCAGACCCAGGTCCCTGGAGGGGTAAGTGGAGAGGGCGGCCTTCGGTGCAGCTGTGGCCCTGCTGGGGGACCCTGCAGCACCTGCTCCCTGATGCCCCTGCCTCAGGAAGGGCCATCCCAGATACCAGCTGGCTGTGGTCCTCGGGGGCTGCGGGCCCTGCACAGTCCATCTGAGGAGTCTCTGCCTGCTGAAGTGGGAGGACTGAGCGCTTGGACCAGCTGTCAACAGCCTAAGGCTCCCAGGCTGGTGGCCGCGCCCATTTCTAGAAGGGGGAAGTGCCCTGACCGCGGTGGAATACTCATGTAGGTTCCAGGCCAGTGTCCTGACCGCGGTGGACCTGTGATCCTGTGGGCAAGTGGGACCCCCGGAGCTTCACCTCGGTGGAGGACGATTGTGTGCCCGGCTTTCCTTGTGTCCCCCTCATCCGGCTCCCAGAGAACCTGGACACCAGGAAGCCCAGCCCCGTGGAGTGCCCTGGAGTCCAGGCTGGCCCAGGCGGGGTCCTGTAGCCCCAGCAGCCCAGCCCTGCTGAGTGGGGCCTGGGAGGCTGCACTCAGTGCCCTTCCTCTCTGGCTCCTGTCCCCACCTGGCAGCTCCACTGGCTAACAGCCTGTCCCCAGGCCAGGAGCTGGAGCCTGCCTGCCTGGCAGAGAGGGCCCTGCAGCAAGCAGCCCCAGGGTCGTGCACGGGGGGGGGGGGGGGGGGGGGATGGGCAGAGCCTGGAAAATAAAGTCCCAACTGTGGTTTCATTTTCGACAGTCGCCCTCCTGCCTGGGGCGCAGTGGGAGGTGTGTGGCTCTCTAGTCTGCTCAGATGGAAAGGTGGGTGCCTGTTCCCACAGCAGAAGGCCCTGGGAGTCCAGGGTGTGATGGGCAGTAGAAATGCACAGGACATTGCCATGGGTCACWGGTGCCACTAGTCAGGCCCCAGTAGGGTCCACGGCCCTGGACTTYGCACACCTGAATTCTGCCTGTGGCCTTCGAGGGCAGGGCTGGCAGCTATTTCCCAAGAGAGGCTTCACTGGACCCTGGCAGCTGAATCAAAGGGACAGTGAAGTGTGGGTGCTTCTGAGACCTCCTGGGGGGTGCTGTCCTCTGCTCCTGTGCTACCGGAGGCCCCCATGTGCACACACACACTAGGAACTGAGGCCAGGCAGCTCTGCAGCTCTCCTCTGGGCCTCTTCCACTCTAGCTCCCTCTGTCTACCTGCTTCCAGGCCRGCTTCCCTGCAGGGGTGGGGTCCCAGGCAGCCTACACTCCCTGATTTTCTGATGCAGGGACATTCTCCCAAGGCCCATCTGACTCCAGGTGGGGCCACAGGATACTGTGCTGGCAGGTGGGCACATGACCTCAGTTTCCCTTCTGTACAGCACAGGATTGAGACAGCCGACTCCCAAGGTTCTCTAGCCCTGCTGGCTTCCTGATGAAGCAAACCCCAAGGTCTCTGCAGCCCATCCTCACCTGGTCCCCACCTTCAGGGCCCCTGCTGCTGCTGTCCTGGCCCCTTTCCCATCCTGGGAAGTCCCACCTGCTGCTATCAGGCACAGGGTTCCAGAGGCCTCTTGGCAGCTGTGTGAAGTCAGCTCAGGGTGCGCACTGCCTCTTCACGGCCACCAGCTGGGTGGTCTTGGCACTGCCTGTCTGGTGCAGGGTGGAGGAGCTGTGCGGCTCTGCAGGCTCCCATCTGCATTTCCTGGAGCAAAGCCTGTGGTCTGAGTCCAGCACAAGAATGTCTCCGTGCTAAGGACCCAGAGAAGTGGCAGGTTGAAGAGGCAGACAACAGTGGCCTGGCTGCAGGTCCAGCCAGAGGACATGGAGGAAGAGATGACCCGTCCTGGCAGTGACAGACTCAGCATCAGTGGAACAAGCACCATGAGCCCCATGTGAGGAAGACCAGGAATACCTTCAGGGCCTCAAAGTGGACATCAACAGGCAGAAAGAGAAACACAGTCCTGGGGCCAAAGAGCAGCCATGATTCAAACATAACCCTTCTAAAAGCAGCAGACAAATCTAAACCAGCTGACTGTAAAGATCATGAGAGGAGCAAAAATAGCCTGGACCACCCTGGAACAGAGACGTGGGGAGCCCCTCGCCAGCTACTCCCTGACCACACCAGGCGGCTCCAGGACGAGGGGGCAGGGCAGGAGCTGACCTCCGTGCCCGGGAACTGAGTTCAAGGCAGGTGGCCTCTGCCCACCACAGGAGGGGGCAGCTTCCGACACTGACCCCTGCCACCAAGCCAGGCCAGGGGACTGCGGACCCTTCATAACTGGGGAGTGACCGGAATTGCCCACCTGAGATTTTAAATCTAGGAGCAATAAATACAAAACACAAACTGGAAAAAACGTCAGCCGCAGAAGGCACACGGCCCTCGGGGCCCAGGGCAGGCACATGAGGCTGCTGGTGTGGGCTCCCTTCTGGGGTGAGGACCCTTGGAAGGAGAGTGGAGGCACAGCCTTATGATGGCATTGAATGCCACTTTAAGATGTCAGAATGTGGGGCTGTGGCTGTGGCTCAGTGGTGGAGCACTCACCTAGCTAGCACACATGAGGCACGAGGTTTGATCCTCAGCCACACATAAAAATAAAGATACTGTGTCCACCTAAAACTAAAAAAAAAAAAGATGCCAGAATGTTGGTTTCACGTAATGTGTGTTATCTCAATCTAAAAAGGGTGACTTAAGACATTAGCATCATCATTCCAATTCAAGAGTTCATGAGCTCTGAAAGTCAAGAAAATGTAAGAGAAATGCAGACCAAAACTAGCCCCAGGACTTCATTTCCCACCCATTAGCTTGGTCCAGATCCAAGCTGGACAGCAGTCTCTGTGGTCCAGGGGTGGGCAGCTGTGGTGCCAAGGCCAGCTCTGAGATGGCCAGGCAAGCCTGTAGTGAAGTCTGCCTTGATCAGACTGCAAGAACCAGGGACTGCGGGATGGGCAGGTCCTGCTGCCCAGTGCAGCTGGCAGCCTCGGGAGCACCTGGCAGTTCCCGCATGTGGACATGCATACAGCTGCCCCGACAGCACTGACCCCAGGCAGGAGACCCTTTTCTAAACTGAATAGCTGTGTTGGTGACTTAAGCACAAAGAGAAATTAATTATTCCAATTGTATCATATTTTAATTTTATGCCTTCAATGGGAAAAGTATAGAGTAGCTCCCCAAAATATCAAACTTCAACAGCAGTCCTTATTGTAACTATTATTATTTTGAACTAATTATATTATCCTGTAGGATAAAGCAAATAGTGCTGTGATAAACCACTGTTTTCAGCTTAAGAGTAATGAGGTAAAGTCCAAGTATATAAGTAAAAAGTCACTATAATCTTAAAATGTGAATTGGAAACATTAATATGAACCCACGATTTTTTTTCCTTTTTCTTTTTGTAGTTCTTTTTTTTTTTTTTCCCATGCTGGAGATTGAACCTAGGGGGGCTCTTCACCACTGAGCTATACCCCCAGCCCTTTTTATTTTTTTATTTTGAGATGGGGTCTAAGTGACCCAGGCTGGCCTTAAACTTGCCTCAGCCTCCTGAGCTGCTGGCATTGCAGGCATGGGCCTCGGGCTGGTCGTCTGCCAGCAGAGCTGGGGGGGAGGGTCCTGAGCTCAGCGGGCTTGGGGAAAGCACACGAGGAAGCTGTCCTCCAGGATGGGGGAGGTCTGGAGGAAGAGCAGCCACCATGAGGCTCTGTACCCCACCAGTGGGGCCAGGCTCTGTGGGGAGGGCCTCTGGGTCTGGGACCACAGATGGAGGGCTCCTGGGCTGGATGGCGTGTGATGTGGGCCCTGCACTGATCAAAGAGAACACCTGGGAAGGACAGGCAGAGCCTCAGCAGGAGTGGAGCCTGTTGGACAGCCCTGGAGGGCCAGGCACCTGCTGGAACAGCACACCTGAGGGGGAGGGGGAACACCCACACAGGGCACCCAGGGTGAATGGGAAGGACTTTGGGACTCCCAGGACAGCCAGGAGGGAAGAGGGGCCACGCCAGGTGGAAGGGTGACAGCCCCAAAGGGTACCCTGTCCAGGCGGAGAGGCAATAGCTTCAGGTTCCTCCTCGTGGGCCACCGTGCTAGCTCAAGTCCTCACCACTGGCCATACCTGCCCCAGAGCTGGACACAGGCCTGGGCTCTCCCTGAGCTGAGATGTGGGCCACCCAACCTGGTAATGCCTCTTGTCCCCATTCCCTGACACAGGGCTGCAGCTGCCTGAGCAGATGTCATCCCCTGCAGCCAGAGCCCCTATGTCTGCTGCCCATCACTTGCAGGGGAGGCCGTTGGTGTAGAGGGGTTTGGAAAAGGGCTCTTCCCTGGTGTTTAGGTGCATGCCAAGGCGTGCAGACCTGGGCAGCCGCCATCATGTCTGGAATCCACTCACACCCAGCAGCAAGTGGGGGAGGTACAGATTACCCGGGGCTGGAGCTGGGTGGAGGGAGGGGTCACGGCAACAAAAGCCAGCCTTATGGAGTATGAGTAAAACAGACGCGTGGCTGGCAGTCCCCGCAGGCCTGGCTCCCAGGGCACCTGACTTGGGGGAAGAGGCCTAGACTCTTGATCCTGAAGGTGATGGGAATGACCTCGACTTTTTCTCTTTTTGGAGGCAGGGGACAGGCTCAGGTGGTCCTCCTGCTGCAGCCTCGGAGGCTGGGACCCTCCCCTTCACCTTGTCTACAAGGCTGAGGGCTGCTCTGCTGAAGACTGTGTGTACTTCAGATGGTGTTTAAAAACCTGCAGGAAGACAGAGAGATGTGTCTATTCTGTCCATTTTCTTTTGCAGGGCAGGGGAGGGAACCCAGGGCGAGCTCCACCGTGGAGCTCCATCCCAGCCCAAGAGAAAGTATTTAGGGAAAAGACTTTGTGAAGAAACTGGCAGCAGCAGGTAGGAACGTGTGCCGTCTACACAGGAGGTGACATTCACAGTCCTCAGCCATAAAAATAAAGGCCTTTTATTTGGTTTCTCGACACCACTCCAGGAACATCTGGACAGCGCAGCCCCGACAGCCTGCAGCCATGCAGGGCCTGGGCTCTGGAGTGCTGGCTACAGTGTCACCTTCTTGTAGGTGACATGAAGATGCTGGGTCAGTGGCTGTGTGGTGGTTGCCATGGACACTGTCTGTTCAAGTTTGCCTTCAGAATTCAGCCTGAATTTTCGGGTAATCTGAGTAGAGAACAAAACAAGATGCCTGTGTTTTATTTACAAAGATCCACTCACCCAGGCCTCAAACCAGCGGGTGATGCTGGGCCCTGAGCCCCACAGGGCACCAAGGTCCTGGTTTCCCACCCCAGGCCTGCGCCCACAGGTGACAGTGGAGCTGGTCACCTCAGGTTGAGATGTCGTGTTCTCTGTCTCCACTCAGCACCTAGCGTGCTTCCCTGCGTGACCTCCACCTTCACCTGCAGCCTGGACTCAAGGCCAAGTGTCCCTGGGAAACCCCAGCCAGCACCTGTGCAGCCACTAGTCCATGAGCATCCCGATGAGGCTGTTTCCACGAGAAAGGAGCCTGCAGTAATCAGGTGTCGGGTCAGAAGGTCCCTGCCCCAATGCTTGCTGACCCGGCAGGAAGCCGTCCATGAAGACACGCGGGCCCTTGTGACACACAGGCCCCAGCCATGCTGCTACTCTGTGCTTCACCAACACTCTTGTAGGGTAGGGTTAGCTGGAGAAATCTACCTACACCTGCAGC